AAACTACGTATAAAAACTGTCGCGGCGTGGGGGGGGCTCGTCGGGTCCCGGCCTGCCCGGTCGGCGTGTGGCAGGAGGGAGCGGCGGGACGTGCAGGCCGGCGGCAGCGTTTCCTTATCTACGTGTGACAGTGTTTTTTCCACCCCTACGCGCTCCGTAAGGCCTCCTTGCTGTGGAAGGATGCTGTAGAAAGACGCGCTATTAGAACTTAACTTTGGAGAACGCATGCAAAATAATATAGTCCAGCGATCTCAAAGGTAAAACGATACGTGACTGTAATAATACGTGCTCTATTTAAATCCTATATTTCTTCCAAAAAAAAAAAAGGGCAGACAAAAATGGACCAAGTGTTGGGTAACTCTTTAATTCCCTTTTTCTTCAGAGCACGCTGGAATTTTCCTTTCCTACGTGAAACACAGTCATGACGGATCAAGAGTATGTTCTCTGCATGTGGAAGAAGCGTTTATGGCCAGCAAAGGTAAAGCAGATGTACAAATGGGGAAAGGTGTGTGGCTATAACTTAGAAATGGATGAAACGGAGCAGTAAGTAAGAGCTCCAAGTAAGCACGTATCTACTTTAAAAAAGGGCTGATCTGTAGGGGTCCCAATACTGCAACCAGGTGCCGCGGAATATCGGTCCGTTCTGTGCTGTTCATACTGAAAATGTTTTGACGTCAGATCTGTCCTGTAGTCTAACAGACCTGGTCAGGGGTTTTAAACACGTGTTTTTTCTCTTGAATGTAGGTTTTGTGCAAAACTGGAGTGGCTGGGGAAACGTCTGTTACTAACGCCAAGGAGACTTCTTTTACAGTTGAAATACTTGGCTTGAAAGAACAGTTAAGTATCCTTGTTACTGTCGTATGTTTGCACTCTTAGACATTAAAAAAAGAAGTAATCCCTTTATCTGAAGAGATCTGTGAAACGAGATCATTGATTTACAGAAAGATTAGATGGCTAACCCAAAACCCGTTGCCTTTTCAGAGCCGGCCATATACATCCATAAACAGCGTACTGTTAGCTCAGGCATTCTTCATGTGAGGTGTTTTTTTTTTTTTTCCTTACCTTCTGCTAACAAGTACAGGGTTTTTTGGGAAAAAAAGTACTGCAAGTTTATTGCCAGATGAAAGCAGTGTCATGCTGTTAGTAACGCTTAGCGCTGTGACGTTTTTGGTCAGCTTTGTTGTATTTTCAGGATCCGTGTGAACTGTGCAGATGCTGTACCGCTGAAGGAAGAACATATAGAAAACATCGCCTCTAACTTAGGTGAGGAGGTGTCAAAACATTGCTGCCTTGTATATATTCTGAATGTAAAATATACACAAAACCTCAACCTGGGGGACAGTAGTTACACGTTTCGCTTATGTATTTATTGAGGGGGTGGGTTTGCATTTCTCTTCCCCTCTTTCCATTCCATCCGTAAAGCTTGAAAAGAGACTGAACGTTACCACAGCTGCTTTTGCTCTTCCCTCATGTAGTGTGCTGGAAGGCATGGTGAAGACACTTGTGTGTGCTTCCAGCAAAATAAGGCGTTGGAAGCTTGCACCGTGTGTGTCCCTCTATACTTTGCCTGAAGAGTCACGGGTGATTTAAGTGTTAAGTTGCATCTTAAGCAAAAGTTATACTATAAGTTAAAATTTCTTAGATACAAAGAAAGCTCATTGCGTTTATTGCATATTCTTCATCAGATCAAAGGAATAATTCGAGTGAGGCTGTGGAAGAACTGAAATATCGCCGTTCTCTTAAAATTGCCCTGGATATTTTGAATCAAAATGGCTCAGCCGGACAAGTACCACCTTCAGAAGGAGGACGAAACGCTCGGTTATCCCAGGAGAGCAATGCAGGGTCTCTCTCATCTACCCCCTTACGTAGATGTCGGTCGCTCTTTCACTCTAAAGAACAGTTGGAGCCTGAGACTTCCAAGAAGAAAAGAGAACAAAAGAATAGCCCCAGCCTGAAGACTGATACAAAAAAACAAAACCAGAAAGGTTCCTTCATTTTGGAGGAGAGCGCTAAAGCACATGAAAGCGGAACAAACCCTTCCAGGTGTGGTACCGGGGACTTGTATAATACATCAAACTCGGATAGTCAAAATTGCAAAGTACCAGAGTCAAAATCCCTACCAAGACAGAAAAAAATCAAGCCCAGAGTGTTGACAAAGTCCAAACCAGGGAGTAAAGTCTCCCTTAAGCCCAAGGAGGAAGAACGTAAGCAAGGAAGAAAAAGGCCAGGAGGTGCGGGATCACCTGTCTCGTGTGGGAATGATTTCCCCAAGGATCAAGCACGGCCCCTTGCTGAGGAAGGGTCTCCTCTGTCTGACCCCTGCAAGTCTGACGCAGCGGTACCTGTCAGAAGGGCAAACACCAGAAGTCAACCTAGAAGGACGTTACTGGATTCCTCTTGTAACAGTGCCTCGGATGACTTGGAAAAACGCATCAGTAATGAGAGCGAAAGTCTAGCAAAGCAATTAGCTGGAAGAAAAAAGCCAGTGAGTTTAAAACGGATTAACGGAGAACAAGAGACCGGTGCAACCGTGTCCTCGTACAGAAAAAGGAAATGCAGGAATCGCCCTGAATCTTCATCTGGGCCTTCTAACCATGGGACGCTTTCTGATAGCTTCCCCTCTCAGCTTAAAGAGGAGGAAAATAAGAATACTTCGCACGTGGATATGAATAAAGTAAAGCAGTTTCAGCTGCCTGACTTTGAGGAAGATGAAGGTGGGCATGTCGCTTGGGGAAGGGAAAACTTCATCCCGTTTGATTGCCGAGCACTGTTGCTCATCTTGGAATGTTGCAGTGCTTTTGTGAAGGAGGTTCTTAAATTTCTGATTTTAATTTTGTTTGAAGTTTTGGAGAAGCAGAAAATGCAGTCGCTTTAATGCTGGCTAAAGACTAGTGGTCGCATTTAGGTTGTCTGGAGTTGTTTAGGGTTTTGCCTTGAAAAACGGTACTTGGCAGCAGTTCTTACCCTTCGCTAGGTGACTTGCTGACTTCACGCGTAGTGGGTGTTTTCTGTACTGCTATCTAGTTAGTGTGCAGGTCAGCGTTCAGATGAAGTGACGTTACGTAAAGGAACAGGCTGGTACAAAGTCCTGAAACCAGCCTGTTCTTGTTCCTTTCCCTTCTTCACCTTCTGTTCAGATTATTAGGCCTCTACCTAGGCAGAGAATCGAAAGCGTGTGTGGTGCGACAGACCCTTGTGTTACGGTGACTCACGCTGCTGGGGGGGTCACTTACACAGTCGTGTGTTTCACCTGGTCTGAAGCTGATGCTTTTTTAACCACTGTTCCGCGCTTACGAACACCGGTGCTTGCTGCTGTTGGCAGGACTGGAACCGTCTGACCTGTCTTCAAAGATCGTTTCCTCAGAGAGTCTCTCTCGCCTCTCAGCTCTGGTAGATGACGAGGAGGAGGATGAAGAGCTTCCTAGTATTTTATCGCATCAAGGTGAGACATCAGTGTACCTATTACGAGACTTCTTCACCCAAGATTGGTGTGCTCTTTTAGGGATTGTGTGCTTCTAGTTTGCTGACAAGCTGTGGTAATGAGACCACGACGCCCTTCTAGAAAGTGAATCCAGCTTTGTTCAAGCTTGGAATAAAATCCATTTCTTGGATCCCCCAGAAAGGCTTTCTGAAACAGAATGAAATGCAAATCACTGTGAAACTGGGCAAGGGCCGAGGATTGAAATGTCCGAGTTCCTGTATTCAGAACTACCTGTGCTGCATTTTGGGGGGCGTGGGGGGGATGCCCTGTCACCTTAGGTGAAACCTGTAAAAGCATTGAAGTGAAACCCTGAAAGGAGGCTGATAAGAGAGGGCGAGCTAACTGTCTTGTCTCGTTTTTTTTAAAGAAAAATTACTTTATTTTTTCATCATAGAACCACAATCAATTGAAGAAGGGATTTTGGTCTGGTGCAAATTGCGAAGGTATCCTTATTGGCCAGCAGTGGTAAGAACAGCTCGCTGCCTTCTTAGAGTGATATTGCAAGGGGTCTGATAAGGAGCAGCTTACCGAGTTCTTGAGTGTCCTTTGCCCTTCTTGACTTGTGTAGAGCTGGACATGTTAAAGATCTTCCAGTAGAAGCGTTCCAAAGATAACAGAAGTAAATTTACCTATGACAAAAGCCCATAAAAAAAAAATAGCGGTTGATTCACGTACGTTTGTATTGGAGCAGAGGATTGCTGCTGAGCCTTTACATCTTGTATCGTGAATTAGGGTTGTGCCCAACTAACAAAAGAAAGGATGGGTCCTTGTGCACTAACAAACGCTCCGTTGGGGTAACTTGCTATTCTTGCCACTTGAAACTTAATTTTCCATATTTGTGTAACTTCCTTTAAGTATGGGGTGTGCTGTGTAATACGGATGGAAAATGTTCCTGCTTTGTAAGGGTGTTGGGATGCTAACGAGACTTTATCCTTTCAACAGGTAAAAAACGTGAAGCGGAAACACAGAAAGGCGTGTGTGCTGTTAATAGAAGGGAATACAAATGACAAGAAAAAAGGGTAAATGTTGTGGACTCTGATCACGTTCTGAACTTTCGGTTTCTTTCAGGCAGCGTCCTGTACTCTTTTCCTGGTACAGGGCGATTACGCTGTCAGTTAAAACTAAGGTTGATCTCGGAGGGAGGGACCAAGGAAGGTGAGGATTTGCGGGTGTGGGCTGTGTCGTGCTGCCAGCTGAGGCAGGCTGGCATTCATGCGAACAGCTGACGCTTATGTGAGGAATAAAGTAAAAAAAAAAAGGGGGGGCTGGGGACCCCACTAGTGTGTTTTACATGTCGTGCCCAAACTTTCTGGAAACACAGGCCTGCCTTTAGTTTTGTTTTAAAACCAGGTACTTCTCACTTGTTAAAAGACTCCATAGTTTTAGCTTATTATGAAAACCAAAACTAGTAAAACCTGCGTTCCTGAATCCCTTATGAAACCTAATTTTCAGGGATGTGTAGAATTGCGGTAAATAAATAGAGGTGCAACTCAGCTGCCTCTCTTCCCTAACTGTGTTTCTTTGTTTCATCAAGTTTCTCGGTATCTCTTAAGAATCTGAAGCACTTTGATTGTGAAGAAAAGCAGGACCTCATAGTAAGTACTGCCAGTAACACGTAACTGCACGTGTATAGGCGTGTTGGGAAGAATGCAGCTGTATAGACAATGTATAGCTGACCCTGCGGGAGGAGCGTGGTGCAGCTGGACTGGTCTGGGTTTGTAGTTCTCTGTTCTCTCTCGCTCTGTTCAACAAAGTAAACAAACGTAATTCGCGCTCCGCACAATGGAGAATAATATGGGCATGGGATCCCCCGGCAGCTTTTTCCATCTCAGTGAGGCTGCTGCTGAGATCACGTGTATGTGGGGGGCAGGCAACTGCTTAGGACGCTTACTGCGTTTTCACTTCGCTACGTACAACAAAGCCACTCTCGCGCTGCATGACAAAGGGATGGCAGGAGTTGAATTTCGGGAGAATGCAGAAAACTGCAAGTAAACTTTGATCCGTTGCCGTTAGCCGTTTCCGTTACCTGGTTGGTGTCCTAGACCTGAAAAGCTTCAATAGGCTGCTCTCTTTAGGACTGAAAACGGCTCTCGTTTTGTAGGCACGAGCCAAAGAAGATTATCGCCAAGAAATTGAGTGGTGTATTCGATTGATTTCTGACTATCGAATTAGAGTAGGTAAGCAGATGAGTCGGATGATGTCATCTGTTCTGATGTACATCAGAAAAAAGATAACACCAAAACTGGCAGCTTTGTGGCGTAGGCTTAATTGAACTGATAAATAACCCTGCTTTGGGCTTTTTAGGTTGTCATTCTTTTACGGGATCCTTCTTGGAATATTTTGCTGCTGACATCAGTAAGTGAATGCGTTACCTTTCGTATTCTTCTCTTGGTAGGTAAGTTTAGCTCTAACGTTTGCAGGTGTGTGTTGAGTTAGGCATCAGACCCATGAGGGGGTACCATTAAAACGACTACCCGCCGTTACTGCGCTCTGAGGGTTTTCAGTCCCACAACAAAAACTAAATAAATATTGATTGTTAAAGACAATCGGGTAACTGGTTACTTCAGGCTGTAGAGAGTTCGTTTCAGAGCTCCTGTCAGAGTTTCAACTCCCTAATTTTTTTTTTAAGGCAAAATTAAGATTGTGGTGGTGGTGGTGGGTTTTTACCCTCTTTGGTAGGGGAGGAAGGAAAACTTCTCTCTTATCAAGAAAGTCCCTTATTTTATATTTGTATGCGTAAGTATGTATGTGAGAGCGCCCCTTGTTTTGTATATTTAAGTACGAATGGTTGTGGCTTTTCTTTCAGGCTACCCAGTTAGAAAGGAAGGTTATCAAGGTTTGGTCCAAATGGCCTTTCCGAACGCGGCAGAGGAAGATGTTGAAGAGTCTTCATCAGAAACTTCGCCTCAGAAGCCCTGCAAGAAACTTCTTCCTGACAGAACAAGAGCCGCTAGAGATAAAGCGAATAAAAAGATAGTGGAGTTTATAGTGAAGACTAAGGGGGCTGAAGAGCATCTTCTGGCTATTTTGAAAAGCAGAAAACAATCCCGGTGGCTGAAGGAATTCCTGAATTCAAGTCAGTACGTGACCTGCGTCGAAACGTATTTGGAGGATGAAGAACAACTAGACCTCGTAGTGAACTACTTGAAGGAAGTGTATCGTGCAATAGACACTAAAAATCTGCATCAAATAGATGGAGATGGAATAAAATTTATCTCGGATGTCCTTTTGCCTGAAGTAAGTAAACATGAAAGGCTGAGAAAAGTAAACGTTAGAGTAAATGACGCTAGTGTTACGTGATCCGAGTTTACTGGCTTGCGGAGCGTCCCCCGGGAGCTGGGTGGCGTTTGAGCCGGGCAGACAGAGTCAAGCCTGCTTACCTACCTGCCAGCTTGGGTCACGGTCCCTTCAGCTCAAAGGGCACAGAACTGTGCTTAGTTTCTATGTATATCTTGAGCGAAGAATATTAAAATCGGGGCAGGAGGCTCTTGAGCCACGTTTTTGTGGGCTGGTGATCGGAGAACAAGCAGGTTTACGTTACATGTTGGAGAACATAAATAAAGCCCCAGTATTAATCGCTACACGCGGATGTTGGCACTGGCGGGGTTATGGGTGAGGTGTGGAGCGATGTAACTCTAAACGCCGATTTTTAAGCCGCTGGCACAGAATGGAGAAGCTTTAGGTAGTGTGATGTTTTTAAAGGCAGAACGATTGCTTGCTGGTGTATTTTGATTACTTCTGAAACTCGTCAAAGCTTTGGGTTTGTTTGTTTTTTTTAATTTGGCAAGTCATCTCTGGGTTTTCTTGGGTTCTTTGTGTGTGTTGGGGGCTGGGTTGTTTGTTTTTACAGTTCTACTTTTAGATGCTTACAGTTCGTCCTAGGAACTTCCCTGGGAGAACATTAGTAACTTCTGCAGAAACAAAACTGCTATGAAGAATACCTGAACCTGGTTATAAAAACACTCTCCTGGGAATGCTAAAGGTCAAGTCTGTATTATTTCTTTAAGAACTTGAGGTACGCAACAGGCAGCTTCCTCCAAGTTTCCTAAGTGATGGAGGAACCTTATTCCAAAAACGTGCTCATCTGCTGAGAGAGTTTCAAATCGCTGGTTGTAATTTAGTTTCTGTTTCACGAGTATAAATGAACGAAATACTTTTATAGGCCATCATTTATGCGATTTCTGCTGTGGATGACATAGATTACAAGAAGGCAGAAGAGAAATACATAAAAGGACCATCTGTGAGCAAAAGGTATCTCTCTATTTTTAGTTTTCTCTGAATTTTTCTTACTGGTTTACTGTTTATACGGAAAAATGTGAGTGTAAGGGCAGGGGAGTTCAGCATCCTCCCTTCTGTAAGGCCAAGCTTCCTCGTTGTCTGAGTAACAAAGTGATTGAACATGGGAAACGTTCTTGCTGAGTTACTGTAACACATCGCGAACCCTTCAATGTGTTAAGATTGTTTTCACTCCAGAACTTCAATGTATTTCTTTTCAGGGAGAGAGAAATATTCGATGAAAAAATTCTAGAAAGAAAAAAGTGGAAGAGCAAACTAGCATCTGCAGACAGCGTCTGAGCAGCGGTACAAACTTTCCCAAGTTATCCTGGCACTGCGTGTATATAACAAAGTGGTTATTTGTATAAAACGTGTAATTCTTGCTTTTTAAAACCCGTGTGCGTATCTCCAAAAGATGTAGCCGTTATAATGCTGTACTACCGTTAGGCACAGTTGTATCTTCAGTCCTTGCTCTCGATTCCGCGTACTGGAGCTGCACGCTGCTTCCCTTGGTCTTGCCGTGTTCAGCTGCCTGTGAAAGAGGATGCAAACGGTGTAGGGGCGCTGCGGGTGCGCGGCCGCCCCAGTCCTCGCCCGTTCCGTGCACTTAACATGCGACCTGCGAAAACTGCGAGTGTTTTGCATTGCTCCTTGATGTGACACTAAGTGTTGTATGAATGATTTTGGCCAAGCACCTGACAAAGGAAGGGCTGTTGTCCTCAGACAAACAGGTGCTGGTGAATTACGTAGCCACGCATTGCCTGACGACTCTGCTGCTACTGAACGTACGCAGGTTTCCCGTCTGAAGGCGCTCCCAGCGGGTTGACTCTTCTTGCTTTACATGTCTCAAAGCGTGGGAAATAAAATTGGTATCTCGTGATGCAATCTAAATAACAAAGGCTTTGTTTTTCTTGATAGGACAACTGTAAAATTCAGTGGAAAAGGAATCCAGTGTTTGCTTAAAAACCAAAAAACATTCACTTTTCTGTTTAAAAGTGAAAGCGTTTTGAATGCTGTTTTAATGTGTTTTGAGGCCATGATTTTAGGAACACTTTTAATTGTCTCTATCTGATTTAAATATCAACTCTAATCGTGCGTAGTTTGCTGAAGGCGTAGCGTATTGCAAATTGCCTTTGACAGACTTGCAGTGTTACTGGTATCTGTTTAACGATAAAAGCCCAATGATTCGTATTTTTCTGTATTGTAATGAAAACGGGGTCTACTTGCCTGTCCAATAGAAACCAAGATGATTTGAAATTAAGGAAGAAGTTTACATGTAAATTGGGATACAGATGTGTATTCTGGCTATAGTAATTATCTGAATATATTTTAATTACGCTTTTACTTGCTCTGTACTCTATAATGAGTTTCAATATGCATTTGGAATCCTTATTCACGTTGCCGAAGGGACATTCACAAGTACCTAAATCATAGGAATACAATAGGTACTTGACTGGACTGTTCTCACAAGTTTTGATGGAAAAACAAAGAAGGGACGATGCCTTTTCTGTGACCGTGTGAAAATTTAACAGCAAGTTGATAGAGTTGACTCTGGAGGCGCGAGTGGCACTCACAAACGGAGGAGTCTTCGGTCAGGTGCGGTTGTTTCAGAATGCAGAAGCTTCCAGCCCACAAAGCCGGGCGCTGTTTGCGGTCGTTCAGAGATCAGCGTGTCCTCGGGTTCCCCTCTTCAAAACGTAATCGTGTGTACGCTTCTCAATTAAAATTCCTAAAGTACTGTTAAGATCCTTCTTCAAACCAGAAGCAGAACTCCCAAATCACCTTGCCTTTGTCTCGGTCCCTACCTTTCATACCTTTCGGCCAAAACTGTCTCAGTTCGATTCAACGTGGACAAGTTCTCTTTAAAAATCAAACTGCCGCCTTCTGCCTAAGGACGACCGAGAGCGTACGTTGTGTTGAAGCACTCTAAAACCTGTACCTCTTTAAAAACCAGGCATTAACGGTTCCTTACAGTACTATTCATGCCTCCAGGCCACATTCGGTCTTGCGATGTGCAGAATTATGTGGTCTTCAATCAATTAAAGTTGGATGAAGTGAATCGTCACAGGCTTGTTGTTACTTTTGTTTGAATACGTTCGTTTATTCCAAACGCCGATTCTAAGCTGTGGTCTTTGGTGCGCGCAGGCAGACGCTTCCACCTGAATTTTATATCGGGTGAAGATTATTTTTGTGTATCGGATAAAGCCGTAGCATCACGTCTCAGTCGCCCAGTTTCACGTTATTAAACGTAGGGGCGAGTACGAGAAAGCAAACTTACTGTTTTCTGTTCCTGTGCTTTATTTAAAACAGTTACCCGCGTACATCACCCCTGCCAGGAGCGAGCTTGTCCGATTTTAGTCGAAGCGCCTTCCTTCACCCGAGCTGCCTCCTCCAGCGCGCGGTGTTACGTCGGTACCTGCCTGCGCTGCTGCTTTGCGTTTGTTTCTAGGACGTTAAAACAGCGCGGAGCGCGGTTTGGGGGGGGTGCCCCGGGGGCGGGCGCGGCCGCTCCGGACCGGGCCGGGCCGTGGGGCTTTGAACGCTCCCAGAGCCCGCGGGGCGGCGGCAGCCCGCCCGCCACCTCCCGAAAAAGGGAGGGAGAAAAAGCTTCCTGCCGAAACCCGGGATCGAACCAGGGACCTTTAGATCTTCAGTCTAACGCTCTCCCAACTGAGCTATTTCGGCTCCTGTTTTGTGTCCCCCCAAGCGACACTACTAACCCGTTCCTCCCGGCCCATCACCTGGCCGATATCTCTGTGTGATGCTTCAAGTAAGACTTACTTAAAATAAGTCTTGTTTGTTACTCGTCCTACATTGCCGGCTACCACGCATACCACAAACGAATTGATGACGAGTCTTTGCAAATAAAGTTATGCCTTAAGGCAAAGACAAATACAGCAATAACACAAAACTATATGTATATGTGCATCATGCACAATACACATCCTACATGCATTTAGTATCAGGAAAAAGGTGTTTCGGCTGTGGCTCCCTGGATTATTTGGGGGGTAACAAGAACTAGAATATTCTGGGATTCAAGAGCATTAAATTGCAGGGTTTTTGCTTCATTTTTCAAGGACTTTATTTTGAAGCCTGACAAATTCTGTACAGGGCTGATGTACCACGAGTAAACATGAATAGAAAGGGCACCTCCACCCTCATTTTTCCATGGTCTTGCTCGGAGACGCACGTTCCACAGGGGAATGTTATGTCTCTGCATAAATCACAAAGCCTGACTAAGCACAGTTATAAGAAAAAACAGTTTATTTTCACATTGTCGGTTAGGCATTTATTTCAACAGGCGACTGTTACCGCACTTCTGTGGCTACAGGTCGAAGGTGGAGGATGCACCCGAGTGCACACACTAGCACATGTGGCACTGCTGCCGGACACTCACATCCCAAGCGTGCGTTTATTTGCACATCCCACTGCTCTAGGAAAAGCTACCTGTGAGACCATCCCCTCCTGCATGCCGTGCGGGGAGAAATGGTGCTCTGCAAGATTGTCCACTGCTTCTCCCCCCTGTTAGTCAAAAAAAGCCAAACAAACCTCCCTCTCTTCCACAGTAATAGAGGAGTTTAACAAATCCCTCCTTTTTTCCAATGTGGAAGCAGCAGCCTTTTCCCAAACCAGCCCTATGAATATATTTGGTTATGTACACCCCCCGTATTTCCTTGTACTTTCAGAGTGTATTTTTCCTCAAGTTGTCCCACTTTTGGAAAGTCTTTTGTGAGCAACCACTGTTCTGCAGGAGCTGACGTATTTTCAGAAGTCAAAATGCTGAGGACTAGAGGCCAGCAGTTACTTAGTGACTGAAAACAAAAACTCTTTAACAAAAAATTTCAGTCAGCGGGGGGGGTGTGCGGCCATGTCACACGGAGGTGCAGCGGCTTTTCTTTTCCCCAGGCCCGGTGCTGTGACAAGTGTTCACGCTCAGCTGCTCCATCAGACGCCAGCGGCTGACCGTGCTGACAGGTAACGCTGGCGCTGCAGGGCGGGTTCCTCAGCTGTGCCCTTCCTCCCGCGGGTGGGGGATCCCCAGTGGTACAGGGGAAGAAGAAACCACCTGTTTGCTGTAGCTCTGCCTGCGTACGCATGACAATCTTTGCCTCACTTCGCTTCTTAAAAGCCAGGATTAAGTGGCAGGCTGCTGTCAGTCTGTGAGCCCTGGAGATGAGCCCGCCAGGCACCCTCCGTAATTTGGGTACAGCCAACAGAGGGGCTCTGCCTGAGCACCGAACACCACAGATCTCCCCACAGTGCGGGGGGGGCGGGAAAAAAACCTGTTATAAACAGTCTCCAGCGGTAGCAGAGGGGGTGAGATTGCCCATAAGCGATGTACCACGGATTCTTTATGGGATCACAGCTCCTCGAGGCTAATGATTGTGTTCTGCAGTTACGCTAAATAATTGGAGACTGATGCTAGTGCGCCGTTTGTCTTCAGCTCTGCCCAAGTCCAGCAAAAGAGCTCAGCTGTTGTCCAGAAAAAATCCTACGTCCCCACTAGCAAGGGTGAATATATTGTCACCAAACTCGATGACCTGATCAACTGGGCGCGAAGGGTGAGTCGCTGAAACTGTCGTGCTCACTAGGGAGAAATGGTGTCAAATGCTTTGAGGTGCTGGTGGGAAACGGATTTGAGCCGTCTCCTCCTCAGGACAAAAATAGGTTCAGAATTCTCCCCAGGGAAATAGCCAAGTTTCTTGGCCAGAGGTTGACGTTTGGGGTACTGTGTCAGAGTGGGGGAGAGACGCTTAACGAGAGGGTGGCGCAAAGCGGCGCAGGCTGCCTGTCTAAACGGAGCTGCCCTTCAGTGACACGCAAAAGGCACTTTCTGGTTTTACGCAGTCCTTGTAGCGCGCAGCTGCCCCGTGTCGTGGAGAAGGCTGCGCAAGTGACGCTGCCCCGAATCCAGTGTGCTCTGCCTTAGCCGAGTTTTGCCTTCTCCGGTCACCGCTGCCCTTGTGCGGAGCTTCTGAGGTGGCTTTTAGCGGCATTTAGAGGTGTAAAGGGGAGCGTCTACGGCTTTGAGCGCGTTCAGCACCTCTGGGGCTGCAAATGCACGGACCTCTACGCACCTATTTCCCTGGAGCCGTGGGTTTTGCTCTCCTGCGTAATGGCAAACACCCTTTTCGTTTATGATGCTCTGACTGAACAGACCTTGAAACTTTTCTTGTTCTGTTTCCTTTTCCGTCTGATCAACTCTTGTTCTTTGAGTCACCCGCCCAGGCTCTCGGCTCCCGCTTTCAGCGTTCTTACCCCTAACCCCCCTCTCTCCTGCCACAGAGCTCCCTGTGGCCGATGACGTTTGGCTTGGCGTGCTGCGCCGTGGAGATGATGCACATGGCGGCTCCTCGCTACGACATGGACCGCTTTGGGGTGGTGTTTCGAGCGAGTCCCCGGCAAGCTGACGTCATGATTGTGGCCGGCACCCTGACGAACAAAATGGCTCCGGCTCTTCGAAAGGTACAGGCTGCGGCGGATGCTTCGTGCACGGCTGCGCGCGCTGGATGCAGATGGAAAGCCATCTGAAATGTCTGTGTCCTGCAGGTCTACGACCAGATGCCGGAGCCTCGCTACGTGGTCTCCATGGGGAGGTAAGTGCCGGGACATCCTTATCGCCTTCTACTGCACGGGAGAAATCTGGTGTCTCCGCTTGAGTGGGGAGATGGAGGGAGGGGAACCCATTTCTCATTTGTATTTCCAACCCTTTAAATTACATAAAGAGGCCTTGTTACAAGTGAAACATAAAGACCCTTTGATTAGGGTGAGGAGGATGATGTCTGTCAGGTCACTGTGAACTGCAGAGTCTTCCCAGTGAAAGATTCTGGGGTTTTTGCAGCTGTCAGAGTCTGGGGACTTGTATATGTCCAGAATCTCGGAATTTGCATTTAGACGAAAGCTTTCAAAGTGCTTCAACTGTGCAGCATGAAATCTGAGCTCCGTGGAGCTCTGGCGTGGAAGAACTGACACCTTGTTGGTCTCCCGGAGCTGCTGGGGCCGAGGGCGGCCGTTTCACCGGGGCCTGGAGGGGACAGGACAAGTTCTAGAAACGCTCTGTGCAGATGTGGCAAAAATAAAAAAGGCTTTGCAGTAGAGAGGAAGGACCCTCTGAAATCTGCTTTGTAAGAGTAACGGGAACGGTTCGGCTTGGTTTGATTCAGCTTGAGATGTAACAGCCTGCGAGCGTAGCCTCCGCCTTCCAGCCGGGTCTTGTGAAGAGGCTGAATGGCCACGGCGTAAACCTCGGCATCCGCCCCATCCCTTTCGGTAAAATCTGTCGGGTGGCTTCTTGCCTCACAGCGCTCGGATGCCAGGTTCACGTTCTCCTTCGCCTCCTGCTCATCTTTCCCGTGGGCCGCCGAGCCGCATTTAACAACGCGCTGAAACCCGCCCGTCTCTTGCAGCTGTGCCAACGGCGGGGGGTACTACCCCTACTCCTACTCCGTGGTGAGGGGCTGCGACCGCATCGTGCCTGTGGACATCTACGTGCCAGGTAGGAGAGAGAACCTCTGCGTGCCACGGCGCTAACTCGGAGCAGGACGGGGGGGAAGTTAATTTTGTACGTTTGGACGGTGCTTGGTGTAGTTTTTAAAGATCTTTCTGTTTCGAACTGTGTCGCTGAAGCTGCGGATGCTTCGGTGGGGTCTGCCTGGGGTTTCCAGTAAGCGAGTGGAGCTCCTCTGGCGATGTTACTCGCCAGTAACTGTCGTGTGAAGCGTGGGCTGTGGTTCGGTCAGCCACGTACTCTCCTGTGAGATACCGCCTCGCTTAAAAGCAAAGCGTTCCTACGTTTTATAAAGACCTTTTCGAAAAATACCATCTCTTTAGTTACTTTAAAGAAGCCCTCTTGCTTTTATGAACTCTGCAGCCTGTGACGTACACGAAGCCAGGGGGAAATCACAGCCTGCTTTGGGGTAAAGCCTGCGGCTGGTCGGTTCTCCTTCTGCTGGCTACGCTGCAGTGCAGCTAGCAGCCCCGCGGGCTTCCTTTTTCTCTCTCTCAGGTTGCCCGCCTACTGCTGAAGCTTTGCTGTATGGGATCCTGCAGCTTCAGAAGAAAATCAAACGGGAGAAGAAGATTCAGATCTGGTATAGGAAATAGCCTCTTATTTATGACCTACCCACTTACTGCCCACCTGGGGCGCCCGCTTGCATCCGTACGCACAATAAATCTGTATTCTCACAAGCCTTCCAATAAAACTCTACCTGGATAAGATGCTCTTCTCTCTTGAATACGTCCCTCTCATCTGAAGCGTTTTAACTCGTTTAAAAACTGAATTAAAAAGCAGGAGTTGCATTTGATGACATTCGGTGTGGTGTTTTCTGGTCTGAACAGCCTGTGAGGGCAGGGGAACGTTTGAAGTTACCTATCGTGAGATAAATGCCTTGCCAGAAACCTCTGGCTTTGTTAGGCAGTTCTGAGACCAACGCACGTCCAGGTGAACCCCGAGGTCGCCCCGAGCTCGGCTCTTACTCACCGCCCGCTTTTTGCTTACAATTCCTACAAAGAATCTAACGAATCCTTTATATCTGCGTGCACGGCAGCCGGAAATTAATTATATTTCTATAACGTAAGTAAAATACTAATGCTTAAAATCAGAATATGACTAATAAAAGTGAATGCTGCAGCACGCCTTGGCAGAGCAGGAATAAAGCAGCCCACGGCGGGCTTTGGTACTGGATGTGTCCCGGGAGCCGGCTTTGGTAGTGGATGTGTCCCGGGAGCCTGGTGGGGTGTTCTCCCAGCAGCCTGGGACGAGGAACAGTCGCCGCAGAGTTACACACGCGCTTTTGAAAGACAAATACATTGCTCTGAAACAGCAGTTGTGTATTTCATTCCTTTTTAATGGATTTTTATCCCTTCTGGGTAGAGAGAGGAAACGTCATTTATGCGCTACTGAACTGCCAGGAGGTTGTCAGGATCAGAGCTTGCTGCAGTGGGCTTCAGCCAAAAGCATCGGGGAGACTTCACTGGGGAGTTGCTCCAGGAGCAGCCGAAATGCCTCCGAGTGCCCCGTCTTCCCCAGTTCTCCCGCCGGGGTTAGATTACTTGGCTCGTGTGTGGAAAGCCACCCCGTGATTTCTAAAAATGATCCGGTTTTTAGAGGAAATGTCTCGTCCTTGAACCCCTTTGGCTAAAGGCTCTGATCTACGCTCTCGAATTGCAGCTTAATCGAGGTATTTGGAGACGAGGGGTTGAGTGGAAACCTGCCTCTGGGACAGGCGCAGGGTGGGACCTTCCTCCACAGAGCCCAGAAGACCCCTCCAGGGCAGGGGGGTGGCACCCGCAGTGGGGCAGGGAGTCCTTTTGTCCAGGAGGGCCCCTGGAGACCCAGGACTTCCATCCCAAGCCTCCAGCCGTCTCCCGCCTCCAGATAAGTCAGCTTCAATCTTCTCTCATTAGCATCGAAGGAGATAAGAGCTTTTCTCCTCCTGGCAGCGCACGTAATCAGCCTCTCCTCCTTAGCGTTTGCTTCCTGCGGCTTCGGGGCAGCCCCGAGGGACGGTGCCAGGCTGCCTCAGTGCTTAACGATGGTGGGCGTGATCATCTTGTGGAAGGAGTAGTACCTGCAGTCCCTGGGGGGGACCAGGTCCATCACCGTCGTGCTGATTTTCTCCTTCTTGAACCCGGCCTCCACCAGGTGCCCTACCTGCGTCTCCTGCGAGAGAGGAGGGGCGGAAAGGAGCAGCGGCGGTTTGAGCTGCCCGGATGCGAGCGGAGATGCTGCCGAGCCCCGGCCTGCGGGGACACGGGACAGTGCGAGCGGCTGGGTGCAGGGAGCCCCGTCTTGGGCTGCCGTGGGCAAAAACCCGCTGACCTTCCCTCAGATGTTCCCTGCTGAGCCCCGGCCATGAGTTAAACGGCCATGGAGTGCTCCAGCTCGTGCTGCTCCACGGCCACAGTCGGGCGAGGGCCCGGGGATGCAGGAGGGGCACAGGCTGACAGGGCGACTTCGGGGACCCCGGGTTGGGCTGGGGGTGCCAGGCCCTCCCCAGCCCGGGGAACAACGCTCACCTCAAACATCTTCTCGATGTCGGTGTACTTGGTCTTCAGCAGCTCCCCCCAGGAGGTCAGGTTGCAGTAGGTGAGGACCCCGCCGGGCTGCAGCAAGCGGAAGGCATGGTCCTGCAATGGGAATTGGGGGGGGTGCGGCTGGCTCAGCACCCAGCACGCTGCCCTTGCCTTGTGCAGCACCCCTGGCTCAGCACCCGGCCCCCGCCTTACCCCCCTCCAAGCTCTCACATCTCCCCACAGAGCCAGATGTTGCCCCAGCCCTCCGCACCCTCCTGCTGCTCCCCTCTGGCCGGCTGCGACCACGTGGACCGAAAGCGCTGCGATGCCACCGTCGCGCTGGGGACATCACGGGGACATTGGGGTTTTCCAGAAGGCACTAAGTCCCGGGTGGCAGGGAGGGTGCTGGGATGGCGAGGGCTGCAGACCAACACCCAGCTCGGGCTTTGACTCCTGAGCTCCGAAATTCCCCTCTCTGCCCCGTGTGCCACCCATCTCCCCCAAACCCACCCGAGCCGGGGGCTCCGGCCCCTCGCAAAGGGCAGTGGGAGGTGCGGGTGCTGCACCCCGCCACGTTACCTTGATGAAGGTGAACTGATGCGTGTGCCAGGTCTCCTCCGACAGCGGGTAGGTGTCATACAGGATCCCTGCCCAGGAACACCGGAGACCGTCCGTCAGCCGGGAGAGACCACCGAGGCGCCGGTGGGGCTCGTGCCGGGGGGGAAGATCCCCCTTCACGGCCTGTTACTATTTTTTCCTATTTCAATTTGCACCCCGTGTCTCTGAGCCCCGGAAGGCAGCGATGTGCTGCTCCCCAGGACAAGGTGCCACTCCCCAGGGGCACCGGCTGCAGCCCCGTCCCCGCCACCGGGGGAGGGAGCCGGGCTGGGTGCTCGCCTGCACCCCGAGCTCTGCCATGGGGACCCCCACCCCACCACCCCCTCCCCGGTCCCGCTGGGCTCAGCTGCGCGATGCCTCACCCCTGAAGTGCCCGTCCGGCAGCGTCGGCACCAACTCCCCCA